TCTGTCTGTCTGTCTGTCTGTCTGTCTGTCTGTCTGTCTGTCTATCCCACCTCTTCTATCTGTCTACTTATCTTCCTGTCCGTTTCTCTGTTTCTCTGTTGTTTTTTTTCCTATTCTTTCCCTTTATTATAGTATCTGTTCGTATGAATAAAAATAAAATGCCAACAAAAATTCCCTTTAAAGCAATTACAATCATTATTACTATAGACACTTTTAGAGGCATATACAATGTTAGCACAGCGAGACATCTGCTTGTTCATTATATAGCATAACAAGCACAGGCGCACGCTGAGATGTGTTCTCGTGGATCTTTTTACAATAAAAGCACAGACAGACTGATAGGCTCAATTTTCCTAGTTCACTCGAAAAGATCGCTCTGACACCTCCTCAAAGGACAACTATTAGCTCCATCTGGGCGAAAAGCGAAGCAGCATCTTGACGGACAGGGAGAGATCTGATGTTATTTACAAAATAAACCCTTTATTTTTCCATATCCACGGGTGCTATTTAGCATTCTAGCGGCATTTCCCGGTTACCTCCCTTAGCTGTGAAGCTGTTTCACTGCCCGACGATTCCAAGAAAAACAAATTATTTCCCAGTTATAAGCACACAGCGGGTTGTGTTGATTTTTTGGGGTCCTTTTTTTCTTGTTTCGCGCTCTCACTTTTTACTCTTTCTCGCTTCGCGCCATGCACACAAACAGAATATTCGCTTACGATTCATATCCAAGGAAAGGTCGAGCGTTATAGAGCTCTGCCGCTCGGCAGAGAGGACTGAATCAGATATACCGTTTGTTTACCCATACCCACAGGAACCCACTGGTTGAGCGGGAAGAGTAAACCTTTGGCTTTATATCTCGAGCAAAGTGCTATTTTGTACTAACTTGAATTCCTAAATTCTGGGAATTTTTGCCACATCCGACCAGATACCTTAAAAATCTTCCGCCTTTTAAACTCAAAATTATCAAAGTTCGTGCTGGTATTCTGTAGAAATTTTTAGCATTTTAATTTGTACTGGCTCCTGTTTTTGTGACTGAAATCCACCGCTTTCGGGGTAAATTACATCCAAACCGATTTTAAAAAGATAATGGAATTAGTACATCGTAGAATAGCATTAAGCTCATGATATAATCTACAATATTTGTGCGAATCATGAACAGGTCATTTCGAAGGCAGATTACAGCAAGGTTTGTGGTTAAAGAAGCCGTCGCAGGCAAAGTATAAACAACCGATGTAGATTAAGAACTGAACGTTCGTGTCCTGAAACTGGATGATTCTATCTTGAAAGGCTGTACAACTCCAAAACTGGTTAATCAAAATCCTAAAATGCACTATCGGTGGGTTTATTTTGTGGTGTATAATACTATGTATTTGTGTGTGCATGTGTTTGTGTTTGTGTGTGTGTATGTGTGTTTGTATGTGTGTGTGTGTGTGTGTGTGTGTGTGTGTGTGTGTGTGTGTGCGCGCGTGTGTGACATTAAAAGACAGGGTGGTAAGAGAAAGAGAAAACAGCATAAGGAGAAAGGGGGAGGGGGGGCAGAGAGAGAGAAAGAGAGACAGAGAGAGAGAGAGAGAGAGAGAGAGAGAGAGAGAGAGAGAGAGAGAGAGAGAGAGAGT